CCCCAAAACCCCAAAACCCCAAAACCCCAAAACCCCACAGCATGATTATATATTGAGGTATATAAATAGAGGTTATTCACTATAATCTCATAAAACACATTTTGGTATATATTGTAATATCGCTGAAATTGTGAGCAATAACAGACAGCTTTACTACTCCTATCATTGTAAGTGCTTTTTAGTCGATATAATATAAACCCCCATTCTAAACTCAACGGTTGAGTTGTAGTATAAGCCCCATAAGAACTACCACAACACTCTAGCGAAGATATGACAATATGAATAATCTTTTGCTGATTGCCAAGAACTCTCTATTGTATATGTTCCACAATTTTAGTCGTAGAAACTATAGGTGGAACTTTTGGATTTTCATAAATTTTCAAGAGCATATGTCAGCTTCTTTTGAAAATATTCTTTCGGATTTTCATTGAACTTTTCAAGCTCAGAAGATAACCAATGCTATCCCCGTGTTCTGATCCGGGGTTCAGGGTGTTTTTATTGCGCAAAGATCATTTATATTTATTTTATAATTTTCATGGCAAATTTCAGAATGAGGTTTTATACAGTTAGCTAAGAAAATATTAGATATATAAAAACAAGACCTTCGATAAATAAATTTAAAATAAGACTGAAAGAATTAGAAGCTACATATCTACACTCATCATAAGCCTTCTGGAAGATAAAATATCTAAAATTATTATTTTCTCAAGTGCAACGTTAATTTATCTATTTTGAGGAACTTAAGTAAACTTCCATGTAACTTTCACCCATCTTATATTCAAATACTTCTAGAAAAGGTTTTTATCGGTTTACTTAGACTCTCTAAAAGTACTAATAACCAAACTTAATACACTCTAAATTCCAAAAATTCTCACTCTCAGAGCGCGATTTTCATATTTCACACTTAAAATCAAGAATGTACATAAAAATCCTTTCTTCACCAAATGCTCCAAAAGATTCTTCTAGCCTCCAAAAGACCCTTCTCATCCCCAATCACCTCCAAATCCTCCTTCATCTCCACTCCCAAAGAACCCAACCTATTCTTAAAATTATTTCCAAATTAGTACAAACGATCCCACCATTGAAATCCAAGAACTCTTAATCCTTCTGAAGCCACCTAGAAGCTGACTCAGAGCCAGAGATCACTCCACCTCGTGCCTTGAGAATATTTGGAGCAACTAGATTTTTAGGGTTTAATAAGGAGACTGAATAAGGAGACTGAATAAGGATGGTTAGGTTTAGAGGTGATAAGTGAAAAGGAAGATTTGGGAATGGGGATAATTGAGAAGTGTAATAGTAAGGGAGTTTTAGCGGGAAGGGGTTGTTTTGGGATTATATGGTGAGGAAGAAATTGTAGAGAAGCTTTTCTTGGGTCCGAGGGCACTTGTGAAGAAGAGGAGAATTTAGGATGAAAGGAGGCACTTGAATGTTAATGGAAATTTGTATTATAACAAACTTAATTTAAGTTGTTTTTGTAGATTCTTATGAAAGTGCTTGGCTTTCACACTTAAATTTAATTAGCCTGGCTCATATTTAGTTTACTAAATGTACTTGGCCTCACTACCAAGTTCAGGCTCTTCATTCTCTCAACTTCGAAGTCCTTCTTGCTATCAAAAGAGTTGCAAGAATCTTGGCACACTGATGTGAACGATTGATCGCTATCTTTATCTATTTTATGGTTAATTGTTTTTTCGGAAAATTTAAACCGAGTTTTATTGGAGTTCACCATAATAAGTCTAGGAAAGAAAATTTACCTTTATGATTGAGAGACTCACGATCGGAAAGGAACTTCTGAAGGACGGTGGGAGAGTCAAATCCTCTAGAACTTGTACTCAAAGCATCCTGAGCCTTCTTTATGATGTCCATGTACCTTTTGTTTTGGTGATTGAAGTCTAGACCAGAGTGGTTTAGCAACATCCTGGGATTTCATCTAGGAATAGGACTCTTAGCGATTGCTCTAGTACACTTGCTACTCCTTTGTAGCACTCTCTTTACTCCTCTTAATCTTTGGGTTAGAGAACTATATTTCACACAATAAGAATACATATTACAAAAAAGAGGTTTACAATTAAACTCATCACTAGAACTAACTTACAATCAATCTTGCTTTCTACAAATCTTAACTCCTCCTTTCCTCCTACTAAAGAAGGACTGGTTTGTGAAATTTGGGCTCTTAAGCCTTCTTCCTCTGCTTACTTTAAAGAACTTGCTTTTTCCATCAACTCTTCTCTATATCACCAAGTTTAATATCTCACTCAAAAGGGGTACGTTTTACTATACTATCCAAATAGTAACAATCATGTTTTACAATGAGTAAAAACTCTATTCAGAGAAGCACTTCAATGCCAAAATCTTTGAATAGCCTGGCAAGAGTAATGAATCAGTTAACTCTTTCAGAAATATGAGGAATTGTGGGCCAAAGTCTTACCTTCAAAGCTGAGATTCTCATTTGGAGCAGATTTTTCTATGTGAAAAGTTAGAGGGTGGTTGGTCGGGGAAGTGGGGTTTAGGAAATAAGCTAGGGAAGGCAGCCCTAGCTTGGAGCAGAGAGATGGGGGATATGTACTTGGTAAAAAGAAGCTTATTGCTTACCTTAGATCTGGAATTTGCTTCAAATTTAGTCTTTAGATTTTCCATATTTTTCTAGTTAATTATTATTCCTATTCTTCAACAGCTTTATCAGCATGTGGGGTTTTGGGGTTTTGGGGTTTTGGGGTTTTGGGG